TTAAGAGAAAGATCATGGAGGAAGAGTAGACATCCACCATATTTTGATTTTTATCATAACAATGAGTACTATACTAAAGCAACCATTTATTTCCTTTTTGCTTTAGCCTCTAACTCAGTCTCTATATTCAAACATAGTAAAAGTAGTTAAATTTGTTTATTAAACTTCTAGTACAATTCTGTATATATTTGTAAAACGTTTCAACTTCTTTTATTTTCATGTATCAAAATCGAAGTACTCCCTCTGAGACTCAAACCAGTACATTTTTGTCAACATTTTAACATATATTGTTTTGTCATTTTGATATGAGATTAACTAGAACTTATATGGAGCACTCATTTTGTGTACTTTCTGAATCTTTATTTTTTATTTTTAAAGAATGAATTAATAAAGTTGATTTTATTGCTAAATGAAACTTGATGAAATTGATTCTCCAAAACCAAAAGCGACAAACAAATTGTGAGATAGGGATAACTTCTTTCATATTTGAATGCACAATTTTTTTTAATACTACTAAGCGTTGTGTTAGGATGAATATGATCTTCCGCACTTAACCGGAGGCCTCAGGTTAAGCCATTAAAATAGAAAAAATCTTGATAAGGAGCGCTTCCCAGTAGCGGATTCAGGACTTTAAGTTCGTGGGTGCTCACTTCCTTTAATGTAAGGTTGTTACCGATCACATAGTATAATTCATAACTATTTGAATGTGACGGGGTTAATGGGTGCTTCAGCACCCAACACGGTAAACATAGATCTGCCCTGCCTTCCCCTACGTTTTCTTTTTCCTTCCACCTCCAAAAAGCGAAAAGGCGTTATGCGGTACGAATTTAAATTTGTCAAGACCTATATCAGACACCGGATAATAAACCGAAAAAATGCTTACTATATTTTTATAATAATGAATTAATTTGACGTTTGTAAACTGTAGTAGACTGTCCGCAAATGTAGTAAGTACTAAAAGGGTATTGAAGAATTTTAACAGTGAGCTCCCCAGTCACTAACTAAAATAACAGTACTTTCATTTCTTAACGGTCCGTCCAACAACAAAACTGTAAAAATGGCGACACCCACGTTGTTTCATCATCAGCATTTCCAGCTGAAGTACAACTCCCAACTTCTCCAAAAAAACTCCAATCTTGATCAATGCTCATCACCTCCAAAAACTCTACTCCTTCTACTACTCCATGACTTTACTCTTCTCTGCCCATTCAACAAACACTTGCAAATATGAACACCCTTTTCAATCTTTCATTTTTCCATCTTCTTCCCTTCATATTGTTCCTCAAATCTGCATCTGGGTTTGGTTCAATGGGACCTATTTCAGCTGCTTTTGGTAAAAATGGTTTCTTTTGTGCTATTGATGCTAGTGGCAAACAAGATGTAATTTGTTGGGGAAATAAAACCAATTCCTCTGCTGCAGTACCCAACTCCTCTAGTGATGTTCCACCTATGGCTGCTCTCTCTGGTGGTGATGGTTTTCTTTGTGGCATTTTAGCAAACACTTCACAGGCATTTTGTTGGGACTCTTTAGGATCGAGGTCTGATCTTGTTCCTACTCTGTTTAAATCTAATGCTTACTCACATATTGCTGCTGGTAGAAGTCATGTGTGTGCTATTAGGGGACCTTATTATTCAGAAAGTGATTGGGGTAGTGTTGATTGTTGGGATATTATTCGAAAATCGAATGATAATGATACTTTTATATCAAGGGAGAGTTCTTTGTTCTACAATCAGTATACTAACTCAGCAGCTTTTAAAAAGATAGTTTCTGGAGATGGGTTTAGTTGTGGGGGTGTTAGGGATGGAGGGATCTTTTGTTGGGGTCCAAATTCAAGTGGCCTTGGAATTTCGAGCATATCGGAGAATGTTCATGTTTTAACTGCAGGGATTGATTCTGTTTGTGGGGTTTTAGAAGAGTCTAATGAGGTCAAATGTTGGGGTGGTAATAATGCCTCGTTTGGTAGTCCTCCGGTGGGGGTGCCATTCGTGTCGTTAGCAGCTGGTGTGCATCACTTTTGTGGGATTCGAAAAGATAATCATGGGATTCAATGCTGGGGAAACTATAATTCATCTTTGATTCCAAAAGGATCAGGCTTTCTTGCTATTGCTTCCTCTGATTTTATCACTTGTGGTATTAGGGAAAGCGATTTAGTTCTTGATTGCTGGTATACAAATGTTTCATCGCAAGTAGATTATGATCCGCCGTTGCAGCTGTGTAGTCCGGGATTGTGTACTCCTACTAGTTCTTGTGGGGAAGGAAAATTTTCTTTTAATGCAAGCCTTTTGAATGAGCCTGATTTGATAAATCTGTGTGTTAGGAAAGATCTAAAGATTTGTTCACCTTGTGGGGCGAATTGTTCTGAAGGATTCTTCCCTTCTAGTTCTTGTACTGAAAATGCAGACAGGGTATGTACTCCTTGCTCTCTTTGCCAGAATAGCTCTTGTTCGGATGTTTGCAGGCTCCAAAACTCGGAAATGATGAAGCATCAGCATCAGCATCAATTGCGTCAACTACTGCTCATAGTCGGGTCTTCTGCTTTGGGTTTCTTGTTATGTTTAGTTGGGTTATGTTTGTTAATCCGCATGATAGGCAGCAGAACTAAACAAGGTGGAAAGAACCAATTTGCCTCATGTATTCGCAAGCCTGAGAAGGAAACTGATGCAAATACCGACCCTCATCCTCCTGTGTCAGTGTCACCGTGTCCAGGTGAAGCTCAGGTTTTCCGACTCTCAGAGTTGAAAGATGCCACTAACGGGTTCAAGGAGTTCAACGAACTTGGAAGGGGAAGTTATGGCTTTGTTTATAAAGCTGTTCTGGCCGATGGGAGGCAAGTAGCAGTAAAGAGAGCCAATGCTGCTACGATTATACACACCAACAGCCGAGAATTTGAGATGGAGCTAGAGATCCTCTGCAGTGTTCGCCACAGCAGTATAGTTAATTTGTTAGGTTATTGTGCAGAAATGGGGGAGCAGATTCTTGTTTACGAACTCATGCCTCACGGAACGCTTCACGACCACCTCCACGGCGGTCTTTCTCCTCTGAGCTGGAACCTTAGGCTGAAGATTGCGATGCAGGCTGCAAAGGGGCTCGAGTACCTTCACAAGGAAGTTTCTCCTCCTATTGTGCACCGTGATGTGAAGAGTTCGAACATTCTCTTGGACGCTGATTGGGGAGCTCGTATTGCAGATTTTGGATTGCTTACACCTAATGAGAAGGATCTTAATGGAGATGTGACGACTGATGTCTATAACTTTGGAATCGTGCTGCTAGAGATTCTTAGTGGAAGAAAAGCCTATGACCGGGATTGCACACCTCCAAGTATTATTGACTGGGCACTGCCTCTGATCAGACAAGGCAAAGCAGCTGTCATCATAGATCGTTATGTTGCTCTTCCAAGAAATGTCGAACCTCTACTTAAACTTGCTGAAATTGCAGAGCAGGCATTACGGGAAAATCCTGCTGAGCGCCCTGATATGTCGCAGTTGGCCCTTCTGTTAGAGCAGCTAGTGAAGGATGTAATGATATCATAGCCTTCCTGTCGGAGTCTTTATATTAATTTTTTGGTGGATTGAAATTTTTCAGAAAACAATCAGAGGATAGCATATTGGTGAGTAACGCTCTTCTGCAATTGTACATTTCTACGAGCTGCTTGTAAATTTTGTGCTTATATTTTTTGTTTGCCACATTCTTGGACAAATGTCAACAATAAGTTTTTAACATTTTCTTATAGCAATGAACTATGTTGTTCACTGAGTTTTCCACATTTCTGAGGCGTTTTCCACAGTTCTTATAGTATCAAGGTAATGAGGCGTTTTCCACATTTCTGTATAATGATAGTCTTCTTTGTTCACTGAGTAGATGGGACGAGACAGTAAAATTTGGCATAGTGTACCTGCTAAGTTAATTGGCAGATAAATCGGGAAATCTGGTCATTTAATTTCGTATTGCTCCATGATGATGTAATTTACACCAGACAACAATAATTCACTTGAAAATTTTTCTGTTATTTCGATAACATTGATCAGTTAGATATTTTTGCGTTTAGTACCAAATGAAATATAGTACTGTTGTTCAAAGGGGAATCCAAAATTTAAACTTGATGCGTTTAGCTTTTAAGGTTCTTAGCACTGAACTCATTATACTTATGAAATCATGGGTTCAACAAATACTTGTGATATTTGAAATTCATGAGATTGTGAGATTTGAAATCACGAACTGGTGAAAACTGCAGTTTTGGCAAATCCCCTGAGAGCCTGCTCAACACAGAAAGCTGGTAGATAAGTTCCTTTCGCCAGTACTCTTTGAATCCTACGTGACCTTTCCCATGTTACATTGTGTCATTGACATAATTTTGTCCATTTTATGGGACTTCTTCTGTAGATCCTGTTTAAGTGCAGCATCAGATGTAATTAGCATTTCTAACAAGGCCAGAAGAATGATGCCTTTTGCTGGCTACTGTATAAAGATGTTATCATCCAGGGGCTTTGTGCATAGAATTCGTCAAAAATGAACATTGTGACATTGCATTTCATAAATTTGGGCAGAGAGATCTTCATATTATAGCATAGATTCAAGATACAACTGTATTTTAGCAGGATGTATATGGTTTCTAGCGCAGCTTATTATGCTCTCAGATTTTGTCCTCTGGCTGTTGTTATTGCCTTTACTGAGATGGTAAAACACTATTAGCAAGGTCACATGTTACAAACTGAATGAGTAGGAGCAGATTCTTAGGGAAAAATCTTACTTCTTTCCTTGTTCACCAGCTAATAGTATCAGAGAACTGCCTCTTTTCCCCTATCCAGCGTTGCTGACATTATAGCCGATTACGACAACAACAAACCCAGTGTAATCCCACAAATAGGGGTCTTAGGAGGGTAGTATGTACGCACCCTTACCCCTACCTTATGCAGGTAATGAGGCTGTTTCCGATACATTATAGTCGATTAATGTTTAAGGATTATGTCCGAGAGACTAATGTAATTTCTTTGTACAAAAATTCTTCAGAGTTAGTTGTGGATAGATCTTTAATTTGATCTAGATCTGTTAAGGAGATCTATGACCTACAGGACAAAAGAAAGTTCATGAATCTATGGACCAGAAATTGTTTTTTGTGCATATTTTATTGTACAAATAGGGTTGTTGGTATTAGATGAGTAGGAAAAGCAAAGGTTCAACTAGGATCAGGGCATTTTTTTTATTGCAACTAATTCCATAAAGCTACAAATATTGAGTGGTTTTTTTCAAAAGAATATTCAATATATGTAGCTTTATGGAATTAGTTCCAATCAATAAGTTGAACTTTTGTTCTCCTACTCATCCAATAAAATTCTGAATATGTTTCCAAAATCAATAAGTTGAACTTTTGCTTTCCTACTCATCCAATAAAATTCTGAATATTCATGTTAGCTACTGTAATGTAGTGTGCATGTGCAAGTGTGTTCATATAAAAAACTAAAGCATATATTCTTCTATAAATAGGGAAATGATTTTAGTATCATATTCCACATATTTGTTTAGATTGAATGGACTTGTTTTAAAACAAAAATATTCAATTCATGGCTTTCTGAAGTCAACAACAACAACATACTCAGTGAAATCCCGTAAGTGTGGTCTGGAGAGGGTAGTACGTGCGTCACCTTACTCCTACCTTTTGTGAAGGTAGAGAGGTTGTTTCCGATAGACATGGTTTTCTGAAGACAACAACAGCAACAACACCAACATACACGGTGAAATCCCACAAGTGAGGTTTGGGAAGGGTAGTGTGTATATCGCCTTACCCTTACCTTTGTGAAGGTAGAGAGGCTATTTTCAATAGACAGAGGCGAATATAGTGTTGAACCGATGGGTTTAATTGAACTCATAACTTTTGACGCAGAGTAAAAGTTTATATGTAAAAATTTATTATAATTACAAAAATAGTAGATATGAACCCATAATTTTAAAAATATAATGGGTTCAATGTCGAAAACCTTAAAAGTTGAACCCATAAGATTTAAATCCTGGATCCGCCTCTGCCGTGGGCTGTCGAAAGTTAAAATATATAAGCTTTTCTTGTAATACCTTACATTATAAGGGTACAAGCGTAATTGAAGTACATAAATTAAAAAAAATTAAAGGGCCGAAGCCCAAAAGATAACTACCGCAGGGCATCTTATAGAGATTGGAAAGGGTTAATATTTTAATTCCTTGCAATCTCAAAGAAAAAGGTACGAGAGTTGGAGGGATGGAGGATAAAAGCTCCTGCAAACAAAAAAAAAAAGAAAAAAGAAGCTAATATCAAGCCTTAAGGAAAATAAGAGAAGAATTAGTGCCAAAGTGCACTCAGTGGCGGATCCAGGATTTTAAAGTCGTGGGTGCTCACTGATAAAAATTCTGAAAAAAGAGGAAAATAGAGTTTAGTTAGGGTGCTCACCCAATATTTATCTAAATATTTTTATAATTAGCTATACAAATTTACTAAATCTTGTCAAAGATAATGGGTGCTTGAGCACCCAAAATCAGCATGTGGATCCGCCACTGAGTGCACTACGTAACTAACCTAAAGCAAAAAGGGATAGGGTACAAAGCAATTGAAATTCGGCAGAAGTGATCGGAGGCAACAAAAGATGAGAGTTTACTTCTTTCTAATGAAGGGATTTTTGGAATGGAGGAGAACAAGTTAGGTAATTTAATCCTTTTTTTTTCTTGGTAATTTATCTGATATTTTCTTTATTCAATACCTAGCCTATTATTAGTTATTGATTTTGTAATTTAGGGTAAAGATAACAAAAGATTCTTAAGGTGTTTCAATATAGCACAATCATGGAATTCCTATTAGATTGAACAAAGAACCTATCAGTTTATACTGAGCACTTTACTATGCAAGTTAGCAGTGCTTGTAAGCTGCTACATAAGGATATGAGTACTGTTTTTGTGTCAAATAAAAGAAATTCTTCTTGTCCTCTATATATACTAGTATCAATCAAATAATAAGAATACATTTTAAAAAAAAAAAAAGAAGATGCAACTCCTAGCCAATTAAGTAATACTAAATTAATTAACTGAGAATTAAGGGTCATATTTCAGAGGAATGAATATCGGGAAATTGATTAAATGTGATAGAAATAGACCAATTACGTTGGCAATTCACGAAGTTGATGCAAGATTGATTTTGTAACATTATAGGTAGTTGAAGAAGTTGAACGAGTGCTCAAGCTGGCGCGCTTGTTATGTTGACGCGAGTATTGTGAGTAGTAATCTTACCGCAATTTGTGTTTTCATAACCTACATGGTTTATAAATTATTTTGAAAATAAAATATGTTACTGAATGTTTGAAATTGCATGTGGGACAAGTCTCTTACTTGATATGGTACTGAATAGTTTACTTGAGATGTTTATAGTTATTTAAAATGTTCTCTGACATGTTTTACTATTACTAGAGATATGATTACCGTTACCGAAATTGGATTACATGATTTGATAAAAATTAAAATGCCCTGTACTGTTTTGAAAATTCTTCCATGTGAAGATTTACTATTTACAAAGAAAAATATGAATGGGCTGAGACTTTGAAGGATCCCGTAGCTAATGGCGGGTTCGTTAGACCTGGTGCACCTTGTATTTACTGATTACCGAGTACAGTTAGAGCCCTCGCTAGTGGGAAGGTAGAACTAGCATACAGTTACAGTTTTCCTTCGAGTAGGGACCTAAAGTTATATTTGACTCCTCTTAAGAAGGGGTCCATAGAGTGATACAGATTACATGATCCTTTCCTGGTAACCTCCCAAATATAAAGATTTGATATGACACAATATTTACCGAGTTTATTATTGAATTGTTAAAATGAATTTGTTGCAGGAAACACATGATGAGACTGATTATTATTACCGTTTTAAAAATGAGCATTTTATTTTGTTATTATTATACAAGCATGATTTCTGACTTGTCCCCAATTAAAAACGGTTGTGGTAAATATTATTACTCACTGAGCTAGCGACTCACTCCCCGCTATTATTTTTTTTACAGACAAAGCAGTTGACAGAAGCGCGAATTTCGTTAATTAGAGTATACGAGTTGATAGTTCCTGGTGAGCCCCGCACTTATTCGCGTGGGCGAAGAGTTTATTTCTTTGTTATCGTCTTTTCCATTTAACTCATAGAGTCGCTCCATAGTAATTCTTTTAGTGTCATGAGTATTCTTTCGTTATTATAGACTTATGATGAGTATTGCACTTCCTTATCGAATTTGGAGATAAATTAGTATTTGTGGCTGTCAGTGGGTGTATTATAATGGTTGAGACTTGTTTTGGTTAATGGATAAAGTTATTGTTGGTTGGATTGATATTAGGATGTTTGGTTGTTGATTTTTGCGACATGAATATTTTTTGGATAGTCCAAAAATAGGGGAAACTCTGTCCGTTTTTTTCTAAAATATCAATGAGGCTTACTTAGGGGCACTTGCTCCTAAGCGCCGGTCATGATCCTAAATTGGGCCGTGACAAAGTTGGTATCAAAGCCCTAGGTTATTCTTGTGACTAACGGAGCACACGTCGATAGTAGAATCTCAATTATGACTATGTAGCAGGCCATTCCCATAATCATGATTCTGTGAAGGCGTGATAGGATGTGTCTTGTCTTTCTTTCTTATTCCTCCGTACGTGTGTGGCGATTAGGATTAAATAACTGAATCTGTCATTACTTATCCTATTCGTGTATGGCTCGGACCAATCACTCTATAATTGAATTTTGCTAGAGGTTCAAACTTCAAAGACGTCAAATTTTGCCTATGGACATACATCCATCTCCAAGCAAAGAGATGCTAAATAAGTAGTGTACCAAACAAGTAAAATTGTTCATTGTGCCATATGAGGTGTTTTTCGGTAAGATGTAATAGAGTCAATTTCGGAAATTTATACCAGTCCACCACTACAACGATAAAGGAGTGCTATCACAAAAAGGTACTTACCCCCATGAAAAAAAATTGAGATCTTTATGGATATAATATATAAACACGAAAAGAATGCGCAACAGAATAGGGGCTCTAAAGTCTTCATGCACCTTGAAGATTATGGGAAACAACAAAATATTCTTAATAATGTTCCTAAAGTTGAAACTACTAAGTTTACTATTTCTAATAGTTCAAAGGATTCTTAAAGGTTTTAGTAAAATAATTACCACGTTATTAGCTATAGGATATTTCATGAAGAGGTCTATGGAATATGCATTTTAGACTAGAGAACATGGCGAATACATGAAATGCTACTGTACTCTTAGAGATTCCGACAAGATCAATACAACTAAATTGGGATTAATTTCACTAAAGTGCTTATGAATCACTTCCTTCTTGGTACTTTGTGACATGAACTTACATGCTAGATCATTTAAGAAACTGATTTTGACGTTGGGTATACTTACATATAACGCCAAACTTTCGTAGGTGGATAAGCAAGCAATATCTTAAGTTTAGAGGCTTGTTGAAAGGTTGATTAATTGTTTAAATAAGACAGCAACTGCTTATATGAATACTTAAACCTATGTTGTAGCAGTTGTACTTACCATAAAGATTAAAAATATGGACATGATAGACGTGCAAGAACTCACATAAGAAGATTGAAATTAGAATATCTTTTAGTATGGATTTTAATATGCATTGAAGATTTAAAAATTCAAGAATGTTTTGAGATATTAAGCGATCCTTTTCGGGTTTCCATATCTGTGAAAAATTTATAATAGTTAGAAATGTGCTTAAAACTTTTAAGATTCAGTTAAGAGAAGGAAACCTAGCTAACCAAGTTGTACTTGATATGGTTGACTCTAACGTACAAATGAATATGGATTAGCTATCTTCTTACCATGCTACCCTCGATTACTATAGAAAGACTATTAGGTTTGGTGAACTTTGAAAGTTAGTTTTATCGAAAAAGGGGATTAGAGGTTTTAGAGACGGGCAAATTATATATTTTGAAGACTTTTGGATTTCATAGATACGGTAAGGGGCACAAGAGAAGAAACACTTGGTTTGAGAAGAAAAAAGTATTATAATGAAAGATTCTCTAATGTATTCCTAAGGATTTACTAGGACTACCTCCAATATGAGAAACAGACTTCGGTATTGAGCTGACACCTCACACGCAAACTATATCATATGGCACCAACAGAGTTGAGAGAGCTAATTGAATAATTGAAAGACCTACTGGATACATGTTTTATTATACCGAGTGTTGCACTATGGGGTACACCAATATTGTTTGAAAAAAAGGGGATGAGTCTTTAAGAATGTGGGCCAGCTACAAATAATTTAAATAAGATGACAATACACAACAAATATCCCTTATCTTGTATAGATAACTTATTTGATCAGTTACAAGAAGCCATTGATCTTTGGTCTGGCTATCATCAGCTTAGAATAAGAAAGGAAGATATTTCGATGTTGCCTCTAGTACTTGGTACAAACCGTATAAATTACCTGTGATGTCCTTTAGATTAGCCAACGCTCCAATTGCATTGATGTATATAATGAATATGATGTTCAAAGTTATTTTTTTTTTTGAAAAAAACAAAATCATAGTTTTTACTTACTACATTCTGGTATATCCTCGTACCGTGAAAAGCACGAGAATTACTTGAAAAATATGTCAAAGAAGCTGCAGGAAAATCAACCTTTTTTTTTCAAGTTCTTCAATTAGCTGGACACGATGGAATTTATAGGACACATGGTATCTAAGAATGGAAAAACTGGTAGATTCTAAAAAGATAGAAACAGTTCATAAATGGCCAAGACCCATTTCTCCTACAGAGATTACTTTTGGCTTGATAGGCTACTATCGGCATTTGTGTAGGATTTCTCAAAATAGCATCACCACTCACCAAGTTAACATAAAAGAAACCGCTAAATTTTAGTGGACGGAGGAATGTAAAACGAGATTCCAGAAGCCCATGGCATGTTTAACAATCATACGAATGTTAGGGTCTAGAGGATTTACGATGTTCTGTAATACTTCGAGGGTAGGATTAGGATATTTTCTCATGTAGAATAATCGTGTGATAGCTTAAGCTTTAAGGAAATTGAAGAAGCTCATGTCGTATTATGCCACTCATGATGTGGAGATGATCAGTGGTATTTCCTTCTTAGATTTAGAGACTATTTATACGAAGAAACCTATGAGAATTATTCCTAGCACAAGAGCCTGAAGTACATTTAAAATCAATAGAGATATAAATATTTAGCAATGCTGGTGGAGGGAACTACTGAAGATATAATTGTACTATTTGGTATTGTTCGGGAAAAATAAATATTATAGCTTATGCAAAAAAAATATGGGTGATTTGGCACATATAGCTCCTGTAAAGACACTTCTGGACAAGATACACATATACTAGAGGGTACACGTATTAGATTCAATGTGAAGAAAAAAAATTCAAAGACATTATTAGCTATTGGTCAAGCCTCATGTAGAGTGTATAAAGTCTAGCCAATACGAGGATGAGTGATTGTTTAATTACTGAGATTAGTTTCTAGCTGGTAAAAGCAAGGATAAGACTGTTAATAGTGAGGGTATCTCAGACTAGATAATTAATTACGTATAGCAAACACATATGGGTTGAGACAAGCTATTCGTGATGGAACTCACAACTCTAGATACACTTATGTCTCAGGTCTATAAGATGCACCATGACTATAAAAAAAAATTGATTGGTTGAAAAAGAAAGAAGGAAAAAGAAAATTCGTTAACTTTGTTTCTAACTAGCTGACATGTCAGTACGTTAAGGCAAGGACTTACGACTCATAGGCCCATTAAAATAACTCAAGATTTTGAAGTGGACATAAATAGAACAGTACATTATATGACTAAATTACTCAAACCATTAGAGGTATGATTATATGTAGAAAAGTTGTAAATTGGCTTACAAAGTAGACACGCTTCTTGCTAGTTAAAACCTCTTATAGTGAGGTAAAATATGCATAGATATACATGAACAGAAAATTATTTGACTCAGTAGAGATCTATTGTCCATCACCTCTAATAGATTGAAAACCTAATGTTGGGTACACGAGTAGATATTAATACTAGTTTTATCGCACGTAAACGCAAAGTCCGAATGTGTTGTACAGATCTTGGGGGATATATTGAGAAGATGTATTCTTGAGTGTGGAGGTAGTTGGGACGCTTATCTACCTTTGGCTGAATTTGCTTACAACAATAGCTTCCAGTATGGTGTTCAGATGGCATCATACGAAGCATTATATGGTAGAAGATGTCGTTCTCCTATCGGAGGGTTTGAAGCTGGTGAGACTAATTTATTGGGACCCGACTTAGTACAAGAAGCTATTGATAAGGTCCAATTGATCAGACCGCGATTGCTCACAGTTTGACAAAATTCTTATGCGGATAAGAGAAAAAGAGACTTAATGTTCACAATTGGAGACAGAGTGTTCATACAGGTATCCCTTATGAAAGACGTGATGCAATTTGTAAAAATAGGGTTGATGAATCCAAGATTTATAAAATTATACAAGATACCTACCGAATGAGAGTTGTGGCTTATAGTTTGGAACTTCCTTCTTATCTTATATAAATATTTCATGTATCTATGCTAAGAGATATATACAAACTCCTCTCAACCATATGAAATACTGATTATGCTGCTTGATCAAAATGTATCTTATGAGGAGGAGTCAGTAGCTAATATCGATAGTCAAGTAAGACAGCTACGGTCAAAAAGAAATTATATTCGTTAAATTCTTGTGGAGAAACAGTATCATCGAGGAATCTACTTGGGAGGTAGAAGAAGATATGCAAGCGAAGTATCCTCACTTGTTTAGGACTATAGGGATGCACTTATTTTGAAATTCAGGGACCGAATTTCATAAGATGGGGATAATGTAATACCTTACATTATAAGGGTACAAGCGTAATTTGTAAGTACATAAATTTTAAAAAAAATTAAAGGGTCGAAGCCCAAAAGATAACTACTGTAGAGCATCTTATAGAGATTGGAAAGGGTTAATATTTTAATTCCTTGCAATCTCAAAGAAAAAGGAACGAGAGTAGGAGGGATGGAGGATAAAAGCACCTGCAAACAAAAAAACAAAAGAAGAAGCTAATATCAAGCCTTAAGGAAAATAAGAGAAGAATTAGTGTCAAAGTGCACTACGTAACTAACCTAAAGCAAAAGGGGATAGGGTATGAAGCAATTGAAATTCGGCAGAAGTGATCGGAGGCAACAAAAGATGAGAGTTTACTTCTTTCTAATGAAGGGATTTTTGGAATGGAGGAGAACAAGCTAGGTAATTTAATCCCTTTTTTTCCCTTGGTAATTTATTTGATATTTCCTTTATTCAATACCTAGCCTATTATTAGTTATTGATTTTGTAATTTAGGGTAAAGATAACAAAGTATTCTTAAGGTGTTTCAATATAGCACAATCATGGAATTCCTATTAGATTGAACAAAAAACCTATCAGTTTATATTAAGCACTTTACTATGCAAGTTAGCAGTGCTTGTAAACTGCTACATAAGGATATGAGTATTGTTTTTGTGTCAAACAAAATAAATTCTTCTTGTCCTATATATATATTAGTATAAATCAAATAATAAGAATAGATTTTAAAAAAAAAAAACAAGATGCAACTCCTAGCCAATTAAGTAATACTAAATTAATTAACAGAGAATTAAGGGTCATATTTCAGAGGAATGGATATCGGGGAATTGATTAAATGTGATAGAAATGGACCAATTACGTTGGCAATTCACGAAGTTGATGCAAGATTGATTTTGTAACATTATAGGTAGTTGAAGAAGTTGAATGTGTGCTCGAGCTGGCGCGCTTGTTATGTTGGCGCGAGTACTGTGAGTAGTAATCTTACCACAATTTGTATTTTCATAACCTGCATGGTTTATAAATTATTTTGAAAATAAAATATGTTACCGAATGTTTGAAATTGCATGTGGGACAAGTCTTACTTGATATGGTACTGAATAGTTTACTTGAGATGTTTATAGTTATTTAAAATGTTCCCTGTTACTAGACATGTTTTACTATTACTAGAGATATGATTACCATTACCGAAATTGGATTACATGATTTGATAAAAATTAAAATGCCCTGTACTGTTTTGAAAATTCTTCTATGTGAAGATTTACTGTTTACAAAGAAAAATATGAATGGGAGGAGACTTTGAAGGATCCCGTAGCTAACGACGAGACCTGGTGCACCTTGTATTTACTGGTTACCGTGTACAGTTAGAGCCCTCGCTAGTGGGAAGGTAGAACTAGCATACAGATATAGTTTTCCCTCAAGTAGGGACCTACAGTTATATTTGACTCCTCTTAAGAAGGGGTCCATAGAGTGATACAGATTACATGATCCTTTCTTGGTAACCTCCCAAATATAAAGATTTGATATGACACAGTATTACCGAGTTTATTATTGAATTGTTAAATTGATTTTGTTGCAGGAAACACATGATGAGACTGATTATTATTACCGTTTTAAAAAAGGGCATTTTATTTTGTTATTATTATACAAGCATGATTTCTTACTTGTCCCCAATTAAAAACGGTTGTGGTTAAATATTATTACTCACTGAGCTAGCGACTTCACTCCCCGCTATTATTTTTTTTACAGACACAGCAGTTGACGCAAACGAGAATTTCGTTAATTAGAGTATACGAGTTGATAGTTCCTGGTGAGCCCCACACTTATTCGCGTGGGCGAAGAGTTTATTTCTTTGTTATCGTGTTTTCTATTTAACTCATAGAGTCGCTCCATAGTCATTCTTTTAGTGTCATGAGTATTCTTTCGTTATTATAGACTTATGATGAGTATTGCACTTCCTTATTGAATTTGGAGATAAATTAGTATTTGTGGCTGTTAGTGAGTATATTATAATGATTGAGACTTGTTTTGGTTAATGTATAAAGTTATTGTTGGTTGGATTGATATTAAGATGTTTGGTTGTTGATTTTGCGACATAAATTTTTTTTGGATAGTCCAAAAATAGTGGAAACTCTGTCCGTTTTTTTTTAAATATCAATGAGGCTTACTTAGGAGCACGCCGATCATGATCCTAAATTGGATCGTGACATTTCTGGTGTAGAAACTCAAGTTAGTTGCTAACTGCACTGAAGCTGTTAGAAAGCAGTTTCAATAAACCAGTTGTGTGGCTAAATTACAAAAGGTGTATAAAAACTAGGATGCTTTTCCTCGTTTTTTCTTATGTTTTTGGACAAATGTGGAAACCTTTTAAATCATATTAGACGTTTCTTTCCCTTTTTAAGGCCGAAAGGTTGAGATGAGGAAATTGACAGAAGGGAAATGAAGGAAAGAAGTAGTACGTATGCTTTGCACCTCTCATCAAATACTTCCAAAACAAAACAGTTTCAAAAAGAATGTTAAAGATACTTGCTTTATCATGCTGTAAAAGAAATGAAAGGTGATTAAGTGCTAAAAACAAAATGGAGGGGTGTACATATGTCCCTTTTAGCTTTTGACTGGCAATAACTGCTTTTCAACAGCTTCTTAAGAACGGAACAACGACATACCAGGTATTCCCACAAATGAGGTCTTTGGAGGATAGAGCGTACGCAAACCTAAACTTATGTATAAAAATCCACTAAAATTGCAAGAAATAGTAGTTATGAACTCATAACTTAAAAAATATAATGTGTTTAAAGCTATAGAGCTTAAATCCTAAATCCGCCTCTGACCCTTACGTTGTACAAATAGATAGGTTGTTTCCTATAAAAGCGTTCTTAGGAACAGAAACCCCCACTAAAAGATCAGGGCTTTACCAAGTAGAAGGAAAAATAAAGTAACAAAACAAGGAGTTCTTTACTAAGTGGTTTCTTCAGCTATGTCCTTTGTAATAAACTGCCAATTCAAAATATGGTAGTTTTCCAGAGAGAAAAAGTTGATTGGAAAAGAGAGAAAATATGGGTGCCAGTTCAAACTCAATGATCTATAACTTTGCTAGTTTTATCTTTTAGTTATAGCCGCCCCTCCTTTTCTTTTTTCCCTATAAATTCTGTTGCGGAGGACACTTTAGCCTACACATTTTGTAGTAGTTTCAGTAGAACCTTGGCTATAGAGAAAATCAAGACAAGTTGTTTGATTCAGTCTAGAGTCTGGAAATCAAGAAAGGTAAGTATCATATGTAAGTAAGTAGCATCTAGAATAGAATTTAAAGCAACTAAGGAAAAAAATCGAGTAACTTGCAGGCCGGTCGTCGTTGCACACTAGCTGATCAGTGAGGGTAAGAGAGTGTTCCGTTGATGTTCTCAGTTTGATTCAGTCTAGAGTCGAAGAATCATGAAAGGTAAGTCGCTTGTTTTCATGATATATAGATACATGCCTGGCTCCTTGTATGCCATTTGCATTGTTCCATCTATAATTGATGGCCTTTTCAGATGGCATGCTAGGAGCCATGCATCCATGTTGAGCTTCAAATCAAGCATTTCTCGCATCTTTTTTTGGCTCCCATAATCTTCTTTTAATTATCCTAACTAGTATAAGATTGAGACATAATTGTTATGGTATAATTTTCATATCGGCAAGTCTTTTCTAGTGATGTACGTGTACGCATGATTTTATGCCAGCAGTGGCCGTTTATTGTCACAATTCAGTTTGCAATTGAGTTTAGGTCTAGAACTATGGCCGTTTTAGGTTTTGCTTTATCTCACAAATTGATATTTATTTTCTATTATTTTCAAGCATTGTATGCCTATTTGTATGTATTCATTTTTAAAAAAATGTAATCTATACTCACATATATATATGAAAAGTTTTTGCCAAAAGGGTGTCTCTGCCACTATCTCCCCCTCCCAAGCACTTCACCCTTATCAAGCACTTCACCCTTATCAAGCACTTCACCCTTATAACTAGGTTATGCGTTCCGGTGAACCTAGTTATACTTTGATCCAAATTTTATATTTGTCTCAAAAAATTCATTGTATATGTACAATTTATTAGTACTAATTTATAAATCAGTAACTTAAAAGGACTAGAATCCTATAAGTTTCACATCTTGATTCTGCCTTTACGGGGTCAAAGAGCTCTGCCTTTACGGGGTCAAAGAGTTCTTTCTTTTCTCTAGTTTAGCTTAAAAGTGAGTATTAGAAGTAGAACTAAATTGTTCAAAAATATATATGTGCAAGCAGCAAGCATGACCAGTTCTTAGCAAAGAAAGGTGGGAGAAAAACATGTAATCATGGTCAATGTTGGATTCTGTTTTCTTTCCTTGGATATTTTGGTTTGGTTTATATAAAGTAGTAGTAAGTACTATGTTAGAACTATTCAACATATGATTCTATGTGGAGCCAATAAGGCCAAGTCCAAATCTAAGTCTTTTTTTAAGCAGTCATGGTCTCATTGATGGTTTTAATTTGTTGGTACTTGGTCAATTGACCAAACTTCCATTTCCGTGACCAAGGACAATGTCTTAAATGGACTGGTTATCTGATTTGGTGACTTCTCCTTTGATAGGCAAGAAGGATCCTACTAGTTTAGTTTTGTTCAGTTTCCTTACCATTTATGTCACTGTCCGGATTTCCTACTTTCGAAAGTCGTGATGGCGCCTACTCGTAGAAGCTAGACAAACGAAATTTAGAAGTTTTAACTCTTTCGTTTTAATCATTTTTAACAGCTTGTAATAACAGGTGATCAACATTTAAATAATAGCGGAAGATGAAATTAAGCGGAAGACTTAGACTAATATAATACCCAAAATAAATATGAAAATACCAACATGCATCTCTACCCAGAAACCGGTGTCACAATATTCACGGATTGTCTATGAATACTACATACAAATGTCTGAAGAAAAGAAATACAGCTTGTCTCGGATACAATGAAAACAGAACAGATAAGCAGATAGAAGAGACGTCGGGCTTGCGGACGCCTGCAGGACTACCTCGGAATTTCTGTGGACTGAAGGCTGGCTCCCCAAGTGCTATTGTCCTGGTGCTGCTCCGATATCTGCACAGAGTGCACAGTGTAGCATCAGCACAACCAACTCCATGTGTTAGTAAGTGCCTGGCCTAACCCCGACAAGGTAGTGACGAGGCTAGGACCAGACTCCAGATAAAACTTGTGCAATTATATAATATACAACGAAAAATAAACAGGTAAAAGCAGTTTAAATGGGAGGGGGTGCATGCTTCGGGGGAACACATCAAATCCAGCTGAAACAAAGAGAAATACGAGAGAAACAATTCAAAATCTACGTCAAAGCAATAATAACACGATTGCGGCGCGCAACCCGATCCATTGTACATATCATTGTTGCGGCGTGCAACCCGATCTAATATAATATTGTTGCGGCGTGCAACCCGATCCAATATATATATCATTGCTGCGGCGTGCAACCCGATGCAATATATATATCATTGTTGCGGCGTGCAACCCGATCCAATATAATATTATTGTTGCGTGCAACCCGATCCAATAGATATATCATTGTTGCGGCATGCAACCCGATCTAATATATATCATTGTTACGGCGTGCAACCCCATCCAATATATTTATATACCTTAAACTCATCCATACCACGAGTCCCGGCAAGGGATCAACAGTAAACTATACTAACCCGACAAGGAAATTCAACAATAAAAGTATATACGTCCCGGCAAGGGAGAATCAGCTATAATCAATCTTAACTCAACTCCTACTCGTCTTAGCTAACACCAATACTCAATCATAAGTAATTTCCACGAAAATAAACTAAATTCTCGCTCAATATCGAGAATTACCAATTAAAGAATCCGTAGTATCATTTAAGAACACAATAATTATCAATTTAAGACTCACGGTTATGCTCGACACCAACATATAGATACTCGTCACCATGCTTATACGTCGTACTCAACAAGAAGCAAATAGCAAATAGGATACAACTCCTAATCCCTCAAGCTAAGGTTAGACCGAACACTTACCTCGATGCCACGAACACACTTCACGACTTAATTATAGCTTTACTCCTTGATTCCACCACCAATTCGCTCGTATCTAGTCACAAGTTACTTAATTACATCAATAAACGCTAAATGAATCAATTTGAATGCATTAAATGAGTTTTCTAGAGTTTTGCCTAAAATGTCAAAAATCGCCCCCATGCCCACATGGTCAAAACCCGAGGTTCGAATCAAAACCCGATTACTCATTCCCCCACGAACCTAAATATATAATTTGTTTTGAAATCGGACCTCAAATCGAGGTCCAAATCCCCAATTTTTAAAAAACCTAGGTTCTATCCAAAACACCCAATTTCCCCCATAAAAATCATTGATTTTGAGTTGAAATCATGTGGAAAGATGTTAATGATTGAAGAAAACGAGTTAGAAAATACTTACCAATGTTTTGGAGAAGAAAGGTTGTTTGAAAAATCGCCTTTTATGTTTTTGGGGTTTTGAAAAATGAAAAATAACTGAAAATCTCGTCTTAATATACCCCTCTCAGACTCCCTGTACGGACCGCACAAAATCAACTGCGGTCGCACAGTCACCAGTGAACCTGTGCGGACCGCACAAGATCCACTGCGGCCGCACAACCACCAGTGCGGACAACACAAAACCAGTGCGGACTACACTAGCAGGTTCAGAGAGCTGCAGTTTTCTGAACCTCCAATAGTCATGATTAAGCCTAAGACACCCCGGAACATAGCCGAAACTCACCCGAGCCCTCGGGGCTCCAAACCAAATATACACACAACCTCAAAAACATCATATGGACCTACTTGTGCTATCACATCATCAAAATAACATGTAAAATGACGAATTAAACCTCAAAACTCAACATTTTCATCAAGAACTCTCAAAGTTCATAACTCTCCAACCGGAAGTCCAACTCGCGTCAAATAAACTTCATTGTTCACCAAACTTTACAGACAACATAT